TTTTTTTTAATTAAACAACTAAGACATAATTTTTTTTTTTCCAATTATAACCTAGACACACACTAAAATATATAGACATAAGATGCGAAAGCTAAAAAAAATAGAAATTAGAACCTCATGGCTCATTAGAGCTATATGACTTTGACACCATATAGAAGAAATTAAGGGTGCATTTGAAATTGTGGTTGAGAGTGTTTTCTTATAATTGTACAATACTTTTAGATATATGTATATTTGATAATTTTTTTAAAACTTATTTTTCTAAAAATTGTAAAAAGTTATAATAAATTTACAGTAATAATATTTTACCTTTTGTATCCCAAAATAACTATTTTTTTCTTCAAATTAAGGATATGATTTAGAAACAATATTTGTATTTATCTTTGATATCCTTAAAAATGAAATAAATGAATAAAGATAGACTTTTTGTGATTTGATGATTCATTAAAGTGAATGGATAACAATAGGGTTAAAATAGATAAAAAAATTGCTTATTTAAAAAAAAAAACCGACAATTAATTTAGAACAAATTCAAAGTAAAAAAATGACAATTATCAAGGGACAAAGAGAGTATTATTTTGATATAATAATAAGTACATAGATAGCCTTTATATAGACACGGAGTAATTCATTGACCAACAAACCTATAAACCCTTAATAAATCTGCCATAATAATTTTAAGACTTATTACTATTATAACTTAACAACTATTAATGCACATATTTTACTATAGCCAACGATTTAAGTTGATTAATGATAGAATCTCTTCTTTAAGTGTAACAAGAGAATTTAAATTCGAGTTGTATAATATATGGGTGACGTAAGTTAAGGAATAAAAAAAAGTTATCTTTTATTATATAACCCACAATTAAAAAAAAAAAGTGTATTATAAAATCATTGTCTAAGATTTTCAAAAGAGAACCAAGTGTTTGATGGAGGGCCCTCCCTAATATTAAGGGGTCTCTCTTAATCTAATGAACGGTGTTTTATAATTTGAACTACAAAATATTTTTTAATAAAAAAATGTAAAATCATTATTTGAAATAATTAAACTACATATTAAATGAAACTAGCATAAAACTAGACTAAATATTATATACGAGTGGATGTGTGCATACAATATCTTGGATAAACTCCTTGAATGAAAGAGTTAATTATATAATAATATAAACGTCATATTGTAAGTTTGCAATACCACATGATATTATAATTATAATTATAATATTTTTTAATTATATATGTTATGAAAGAACCATATTCCACTACAATTTTATTTTCAATCTTTTTTTTTTTTTTTTGATAAATCAAAAGCAAAATTTTATTAAGAGAATGAGTACAAGGGGTACTCACCCCTTACATGAAGAAAAAAACAGAGAAGGGGAAAAGGAAGGAGTTAGGACTGGATTGCACAAAGAATTGAAAACTGACACCAATCACTTAAGCAAAAACCAACAGATTTCAACCTTCCTTTAATCCAAGCAAAAGTCTTAACCTGCACTAAGTCTATAATACAATTCTCATCCCAAGAAAGTCTGTTGAAAACAATACCATTTTTGGAGTACCAAATGGCCCAAGCTGTTGTAAAGATTGTAAGAGCCCAATGGTGGCATGCTTTCTTTGGGATTGGAAGTGAGCAAAGCTGAAGAAGTAGATGGGAGATGTGATCAGTATGGATGAATTTGAGTCCCACCAATAGCATATACGGTTCCAAAGGCTTTGAGAAAATTTGCACTTTGCAAAAACATGATTTGCATCTTCCATATAACTACCACATAGGACGCATGCTGGGTTGGATACTAAATCAACATCACGTTGTATGAGGTTATCCTTGGTGGGGAGCTGATTTAAGAAGAGGTGCTAGGTGAAGACACTAACTTTAGCTAGCATCAATTGATTCCATATCAATTTGCAAATGTTTCGATCAAGGCAAGAAGGAGACACATCAAGAAACAAGTATGCCATTTTTGCAGAATATCCTAAGGGACAGTGTTTCCAAATTTTTCTATCAACTTTGCCTTCGGATATGGTAGCACTTCGTAAAATGTCCTCCAATATCTTGAGTTCATCCAGTTCTCTTCCAAAGGGGGATCTACGCCATTGAAGATTCTAGCTCTCTCTATTGGTTGGTTTCAAATCAGCAACTGTTGATTCTTTGTCCAAAGTGAGGTTGAATAGTCAGGGAAATTCAAGCTTTAGAGGAGAGCTTCCCAACCAAATATCCTTCTAGAAGCTAGTTTTTGAGCCATCACCAAGCTGATGTGTGAAGCCATTGGAAAAGCTCATGATGGTTCTATCGCATATCCTGTCAATAGATAAAATGTTGTTCCAAAGAGAAGATAATCTTGAGGATGTAGTGTTGTGGATAAAATTAGATGTAGAGCCAGCATAGTATTTACTAACAACAATCTTTTTCCATAGTTTCTCATTTTCAGCATCATCGTAGAATTTGTTCCAGCATTTTCCTAAAAGGGCAATGTTCATAATGGATAGGTTTGGGATACCGAGACCTCCCTTAGTTTTTGCAAAAGAGGCCTTACCCCAATTAACCCAAGCAATCTTTTTACTCTCATCTAAATCCCCCCACAAGAAGTTTTTTTGGATTCTAATAAGTTCTTTTAGGATGCCATTAGGAGCTTTAAAAATAGAGAAGTAAAAAAGAGGGAGAGCAGAGAGTATCGACATGAGAAGCATGATACGGCCACCAAATGATGAGAGCTTGCCCTTCAAGATGCTAATTTAGATCAAAATTTTTCAATCACCAATTTCTAGAAGCTAGGACGATGCGAGTTACCACCAACAGGGAGGCCAAGGTAAATAAAAGGTAATTTCCCAGTTTTACAATTCAAGGCTAGGGCTGCCATGTTGAGCCATTGCTCATCCACATTAATCCCATATAGAATGCTTTTATTGAAATTGATTTTGAGCCCAAACATAATCTCAAACCATCTTAATGCACATTTGATAGTCCAAATTGAATTAGTAGAAGCCTCAAAAAGGAGAGCAGTGTCATTGGAAAACTGAAGGTGAGAAACTGAAGTATTCTCATCAACTGCCACCCCCTTAAACATGTCTTTTATCTCTACCTCAAGGAGAAGAGCATGCAAGCCTTCAACAGCAATAAGGAATAAGTATGGAGAGAGAGGGTCACCTTGCCTTAGTCCTCTCTACATCTTAAATTCTTGTGTTGGACTTCCATTGACAAGAACAGAAACAGAAGCAGATGATAAGCATTCTTTGATCCAACTTCGCCATTTCTCATCGAAGCCAAGTAGATGGTGAATTGTATCTAGATAGCCCCAATCAATAGAATCAAAAGCCTTTTCAAAGTCTGCTTTAAACGTAATACCCTTTTTTCTCCTATTAATTCAAACACTGCAATAAAAAAAAAAAAAAAAAAAAAAAAAAAAAAACAAAAAGGTTTTCTTTATGGGTTAGTTTAAAGCATTGGAATTGACCCCCTGTAGCTTCTCCGGTACTTCCTACAGTCCCACACTAAAATTTGTTTCTCTCAAGATGTAGCAAAAGGGATGGAAAAAAAAAAAAAAAACATTAAAATGATGTTCCATAAAGAAATTCTAAAATCAACATATTTTTCTTGGGAATTATTGAGGATGAGGTAGAATAAATTCACATGTCAACAGAACAGAAGCCATTAGATTTATGGGAACAAATTCTTTCAAAATTATCATTACTTGCAAATTAAGTTCTTAGGAAACTCTAAAATTTATTTTTAAGTTTTACAATGAATCTTGTAACATGCCATGTGAGCAGGGACGAAGCCAGACTTTTGACTAAGGAGGGGTGAAATTCCCCTCCCCTTCTTTTCTCATATTTAAATAAATAATTAAATTAAAAGAAAAAATAAAGTAAAAGAAAAATTTTCCCTTCTCTTCCTCTCTATTCATCTCAATTCAAACATATTATTAATTATAAGTCTTGAATTTGATCCATAATTTTTACATAAAAAATTTTACTAATTTTTATATTCATTACTAATTTTATGGGCAAATATACTACTTTTAACATATATGCCAAACTTTAAATTAATTAAATATATCTAATTATTTTTGCATAACATACAATTCAATACACTTAAACAAATAAAACAAAATAATAGAAAAAATATTAAGAAGTTGGATTTAGAAAAAGTTATGAAAAAAAAGTATTTCAAAACTATGTTATTTAAATAAACTTGAATTAAAAAAAAGAAGACTAAATTATTATTTTTTTAGGGTAAGAATAAATAATATTTTAATATTTTTTTATAATACTTTTGTCACGACCCAAAACCTAAATCCGAAGACGTAGCAGACGCCGTGCACTCGTGAGAAGGTCCCACAAATGCACAAGGTTTGAAACTTATCCAATTCACATCTGACATTCCAATAACTTAAATTGGATATTTCAAAATTAATTTTATGTCCAACATAACTTAAGCTCAAAATCTCAAGGTCAAATCTCTTGTAAATTAACAATCCACTAAATGAATTATAAAATCTCCAATTACAATCTTGCTTACAATATCATCATTATATCTAAAATCCATATTCAATTTACAAGATGGCTAGCCTTCTATCTTGTCACTCCCCTCGTTTTTCCCCGTCCTTGACTTCGCTTTCTGAAATGGTGGATAAGGAAAAACTATGAGATAACTCATCAAGTAAATATGGATAGCCCTTGGGTAAAACTTTTAGCATGCCTGATAAACAGTTTAACATAACAAAATGCTCAATGATAAACCGTTAATGCAGAATCAAATTCAGTTCAAATGCTCAATGATAAACCGTTAATGCAGAATCAAATTCAGTTCAATTGCAAAGCATTCAATGACAAACCGTCAATGCAAAATCAGATTCAGTTCAATAACAAATCGTTCAATGACAAACCGTCAATGCAAAATCAGATTCAGTTCAATAA